TACAATATTCTGTCTGTGTGTACGTCTGCAGGCCAGAAGAGGGCACCAGACCTCATTACAGATGGTTGTGAGCCACCATGTGGTTGCTGGGAATTGAACTCAGGACCTTTGGAAGAGCAGGCAATTCTCTTAACCACTGAGCCATCTCTCCAGCCCCCAAACAAAATATTTTTAAACACTGAGTTCTCTCCCCAGTCCCTATTTCCTGGTCTATCTTTTTAAAGACACGTACTTCTCCACTGTTGGGATATTCTTCATGTCAGTTTTTGAGCCTTTTATATATGAAGTAATTTGTTATATTACAGATTTACAGAGCTGTTTCCCTATTTTGCCTTTTGAACAGATTCATGGAGATTTTTCTTTTGTGTCCTATTTTTCTTTTCTTTTTTTTTTTTTTTAAGACAAGGTTTCTCTGTAACTGCCTAGACTTCCTGGAACTTGCTTTGTAGACTAGGCTGGCCTTGAACTCACAGAGATCTACCCGCTTCTGAGCCTTCCACCTGCCTCTGCCTTCCAAGTGTTTGGATTAAAGGCACGTGCGGCTACCACCTGGCCTGTACAAATATTTTTAATTTGTGTTTGGTGTGTGTACAAAGTGAAGGTCAGAGGACAGCTGACCTTTATTTGGGGTGTGTATGCAGAAGACAACTTTTTTGAGTTGGTTCTCTCCTTCTGTGGTTTCCATGGGTTTTGTATGGAGAAAGATAAATATGCCGTGGTGAAGGGAAAGCACTTCAGTCCATTGAGGCTGGACTCCCCTGCAGCTAGCTGCGAAAGGCTGAGTTCATTCTTAAAGTGTCTCTGAGCTTTTACCAGCACTCACTGCCAGACACACACACACACACACACACACACACCAAAGAATAACCTTGAACTTCTGATCCTTCCACCTCTGCCTTTAAGTGTTGGAGTAGATCACAAGAAGACTTGTTCTTGGGCTGGAGAGATGGCTCAGAGGGTAAGAGCACTGACTGTTCTTCCAGAGGTCCTGAGTTCAATTCCCAGCAACCACATGGCGGCTCACAACCATCAATAATAAGATCTGGTGCCCTCTTCTGGCATGTGTATATATAATAAATACATTAATTAAAAAAAAAAGAAGACTTGTTCTTTTATTATTTATTGTTCAGATTCTGATATTGTATCTTTTTTGCCTTGAAAACTTTTAGCTGTTCTTTTAGTGTTTGCTAGCAACATACTCTTAGTTCCTTTTTGTGGGAGAGATCCTTGATACCACTTCCAGGTTTGGTGATTCTATAAGAAGACACGTGGGACTCAGCTTTTAGTCATACTAATAGTTGTTTATTATGGCAAACGATTCAGTTCAAAACTGGGGATGGTAGAAACAGACTGTGGTATATGGGCCTATGATCGCAGTACTTGGGGGATATGGAGGGAGGCAGGATTTGGATTGAGATTTTTTTTAAAGGAGGGAAAAAAAGATAAATGCACACAAGCATGAGTACCTGTGTTTGGGTCCTTGGCATCCACATAAAAAGGCAGGAATGGTAGTGTATGCTTGTAATCCTAGACTTGGGAAGGAAAACAGGCAGATCACTAAAATTCACTGGGCAACAAGTGAGCCAGGCCTAAGTGAGAGAATGTCTCAAAAAGGAAGAGGGAGGGCCACTAAGGGAAATAAATATACTTGAGGTTGACCTTTGGTCAACCACCCACAGGCACACATACATAAATGTGTATTTACACAGAAAACTCAAATTGAAGTGAGTAGAGTAAAATGTGGAGGAAGGTTTCTAGTGTTTTCTCCAGAAATGAATTAAGACTAGGAGTAAACGTTGTCTACCATGAAACAGAACCAAGGAGTTTTTATTGAACAGCAGCACATATCATGGTTCCCAATTTCTAGAAGGAAAGCAGATGTTCAGTAATCCCATGTTTTGTACAGAGCATTGCTCTCCAAATCCAAGTTTCCATATACCAGCCAATGGTCATTTTGGAAGCAGGACAAAATAAGGATAATAGTTATTTCCTTGTTCTGTTCTTTTCCTTTTCTGCAATATTATATATAAGAATAACTTTATTTTTTAATTTTTTTAAGATTATTTTTCTGTGTAGTTCTTGCTGTCTTGGAAATCGCTCTTAGACCATGCTGGCCTTGAACTTGAGATCTGCCTTCCTATGCCACCTAAATGCTAGAATTAATGGTATGATCACCACTGCCCAGGAAGGAATAACTTTATTTTTAAAAGTTTTAAGCATGTATGTGTATGTGTGCATGTGTGCACTCCCTCGCGTGATGCATGTGCCTGTGCCTGCAGAGGTCAGAGTTCTTGTATCCCCTTGGAGTTAGAGATACACATAAGTAGTTGTGAGCTACTTGATGTGGTGGGAAATGCTCTAGGGTCCTCCAGAAGAGTGTTTTGTGTTAGTATTCAGGCCTGTGGACTGACCTGATCTTAGTAAAAGTCCTCAGCTGTGCCACCAAGCACCACCTGTGCATATTCACTATCTTCCCTTTTAAAAGGGCCCTGCCCACTCCCACCCCTCCCTCTTTTTCTCTACACGCCTTTATCTCTCTGCCTCTCCCTCTTTTTTGCTTTAATTTTTTATTTTTGAGACCGGGTTTCTGTGTAGCTTTGGAGCCTGTCCTAGAACTAGCTTTTGTAGACCAGGCTGGCCTCCAACTCATAGAGATCCACCTGCCTCTTGCTTCCCGAATGCTGGACTCTCTCCCTCTTTTCTCTCTTTTCTGTCCCCAGAGGCCTGTCTCCCCTCCCCCCCCATTCACTTTTGCCCAATAAACCCCTCCACCTGAGCTTTCTCCCTCCTTTCCTCCGTCCTTCCCTCCCTTCCTCTCTCCCTTTCTTGATGCAGGGTTTCTCTGTAATTCTGGCAGCTCTGCAGACCAAGCTGCCCTGGAACTCCTAGAGATCAGTCTGCCTCTGCCTTCTGAGTGCTGGGATTAAAGGTGTGCACCACCACCACCGCCCAGCTTGTTCTGTTTTCATTTTGAAGTGCCTACGTTCCTTTCTTTCTCCTTCTGCCATTCCTTCCTCCCTCCCACCAGGATAGTTTTCCTGTGTAAAGTTCAGTTTCTGACTTCTCATAGTGTTTTATGAAATTCATAGTGGGAAAGCAGCGTCTCGATTCATTTTGTTCCTTAGTTGCAAACATCAGGTAGTATAAGTTTGAATGATGAAGCAGTTGTTAAAACTGTATCTGACTTTCATGTTGGGATCAAAATTTGGAATGGCTAAGATTTCCTTTTGTCTTGGTTTGGAAAGTTATTTCTGTCATTGGCAAAAGTAATTCATTGATTCCAATTCCCTGTTTATTTTGATGTTCTAGGAAGACTTAAGATGGTTGTGAGCCACCATGTGAGTCTTGGGAGTTGAACTCCAGACCTTTGGAGATCAGGCAGTGCCCTCAACTCCTGAGGCATCTCTCCAACCCTATACTCTTGTTTTTAACCTTTCTTTCCCCCATGTTTGATCATTGTCATAAGAGTAGTTTGTAAATTCTATTTTTGTAGGTTGAACAGTTCCAGTAGAATTTGTGTGTGTGTGTGTGTGTGTGTGTGTGTGTGTGAGAGAGAGAGAGAGAGAGAGAGAGACAGAGAGACAGAGAGACAGAGACAGACAAGACACTGCCCTCCTGTGGTTAGAATAAGGTAACTGTTTTGGAAAACTACTAGCCTACACAGCTTGTGATAAGAGAATATAATATAGTATGTCTCCTTTGGGATCCTTCCCACCTTCATAAGCTTTCCTCACTTTTCCTTAATAAATCTACACTTGCTGAAGTTAAAAATAAAGAATGTAATTGTTTAGTCTTTTTACTCCGAAATATTTTGATTTTTCTTCTTAGGTTTTTCTAGTATATGTATATATATTTCTCATTTTCATATTTTATTAGGGGAATTAATATAATTAATTATAAGCTAGGCAGTGGTGGTGCACATCTTTAATCTCAGCATTCAGAAGGCAGAGGCAGGATTTCTGTGAGTTTGAGTCTAGCCTGGTCTACAAAATGAGTTCTAGGAGAGCCAGGACACATAGAAATCCTGTCTTAAACCCTCCTCCCAAGAAAAAGAATTAATTGTAAACAAATTGTTATGAAAGTGCTCTTACCTGCTGATCCATCTCAGCATCCCAGGTCCTGTTTTTGTTTTGTTCTGTTGCCCAGCTGACATGGAACCCATTATGTAGCCCAGAGTGACGTTGAATTTTCTGCAGTATTCATGTCTCTCCTAAGTGCTGTACTTATGGGCATGAACCACTTTGAGGGGGAGACACTCTACATATTTAGTCTAGGCTGGCTACTTACTAACTCTTTTTTTAATATTTATTTATTTTCTTATTTATTTATTATGTATACAATATTCTGTCTGTATGCAGAAGAGGGCGCCAGACCTCTTTACAGATGGTTGTGAGCCACCATGTGGTTGCTGGGAATTGAACTCAGGACCTTTGGAAGAGCAGGCAATGCTCTTAACCGCTGAGCCATCTCTCCAGCCCCTTACTAACTCTTGGTACTGCTGCCTAACTCTACAGTGCAGGAACAGTCACGTACCATTCTGGCCAGTTTAACCAAAGTACTGTTGCATGTAAACACGCATGTTTTACTCAGGATAGTTCACTCTTGTTTGTTCTTGCAGTATAGTATAATTTCTGAACAGAGCAGCAATTTTTTATTATGAGTTTTGAAATTTATGATTATTTTCTATTTCTGTGTGTTTTTGTTTAACTAGTAGAAGAAATTAGTTATTTATAGTGAAATTGCAGAAAAAAGCAAGGCTAATAAATAGCCCAAGAAAAGCATGCTATTTGTTTATTTCATATTCATTAGTTAAAACATTAATTTTAGCCTTTTTGATCTATTTCTGCTTCAGAATTTAACTTACTGTTTGATTTATGGAAGAGTTCTGGGTAAAGTCTCTAGATATATATGTTTTAGATCTAGTTATTGGCATAGTTATAATAACACAATTATAAGAATGAGAACTTAAGAATTCATTATATTATTTCCTTGTTTCTCAGGTCTTAGAAAAATACCCTAATACACCTATGAGTCATAAAGAAATTCTTCAAGTTATCCAGAGAGAAGGGTTAAAGGAAATCAGGTGAGTTATTAAAATACTACTAGTAATAATTATGCTTGTATTTATTAGTATTCTTTGTCTAAAGCATTCATTGATTAGTATGATATACTTTATGAACTTCCAGTTTTTTCAGCTGTCAGTCCTTGGGGTTTTTAAGTCATAGCATTTATAAAACTAAAAATAAGTAAAGTAAATCCTTATGAGAAAGTAACTAGCTGTCTTTCAGAGCACATGCACTTTGATTCATAGGAAAACCTGGAGTCATCTTTAAACCATCACCTATCACTTCGTGCTTTGTATATACTGAGTTCAGTAATTGGGTAAAAATTACTACATGGCAGTTTCAGAAGTAGGCAGTATAAGAAGAAATAAGATTTATTAAAGAAATGGAAAAGATGTTTGTGTGTCAAGATGCTGGGCATCATGACATAATGCCTATAGTCCAAGATGCTTGTCAGAGGCTAAGGCTGGAAGATCACTTGATCCTGAGTTCTAGACCAGCTTGGATAACATAGCAAGACCTCTCCCCCCAAACAAACAAACAAAAAACCAAATAAATAGGGCTGATAAGATGTCTCAAGGAGTTAAAGCTCTTGCCAGTTCGATGACCGAAGTTCAGTCTCTAGAACTCAAAGTGGAAGAAAGGAGATGACTTCTGAAAATTGTTCTTTGGTTCCCCCCCCCCTTTGGTCTCCTGTCTCTCTCTCTCTCTCTCTCTGTCTCTCTCTCTCTCTCTCTCTCTCTCTCTCTCACACACACACACACACACACTCACACACACACTCACACACACATGTTTAATAATCATTAAATGTTTAATGTGTTATTAGGGTCAAAGATACTACTCTTTGATTTCTAAGATTCTTATTAGCATATAATAGTCATTGCATAATTAAGACTGTCATTAAGAAATGTTAAAATTATTTCAGATTCATTGTGAATATTGAGAAAAATTTGGCCATCTACATTGGGAATATTTCGTTAACATAAGACATTTGAAACAAAAATAGACCAAAAGATGTTAGGTATGGTGGGGCACATTTGTAATTTCAGTGTTCAGGAAGCTGAGACAAGTGCCTGGCCAACCTCAGCTACTTGTTGACTAGCAGACTGGCTGCGCTACCCAGTAAACTCTGTGTATTACTTTGTTGCTGTGATAACATTATGACCAACACATTTTATAAAAGAAAGCTTTCAGCTGGGTATTGGTGGTGCAGGCCTTTAATCCCAGCACTCGGGAGGCAGAGGCCAGCCTAGTATACAAGAGCTAGTTTCCAGGACAGGCTCCAAAACAACACAGAGAAACCCTGTCTTCAAAAACAAAAACAACAACAACAAAAAAAAAAAAAAAAAGGAAAAAAGGGGAAAGCTTTCAATTGGGGTTATAGTTAGAGAGTGCTAGAACAGTAGTTGAGAGCTTACATTGATTTACAAGTATGTGGCACAGTGAGCTAAACTGGGGGAATTATGTGGGTTTTTGAGACCTCAAAGCCAGTGACACACATCCTTCAAGAAGGCCACACCTTCTAAACCTTCCTATATAGTCCCAACAGTTGGGGACCAAGCATTTAAGTATACGAAGCTATAGGGACCATTCTTTAAACTACCATATTCTGTTTCACAACACCCAACCAAAATAACATACAAAGCTTGTGGTGTGTGTCGTGTCACCTCCACCGCTACCCCGAGGTAGGTTTTCTCTGGATAGCTTTTGAGCTTCTTCTGGAACTCCCTCTATATACCAGGCTGGCCTTGAACTCAGAGAGATGTACTTGCTCCCCCCTGCCACCTTGCCCCCTGTCACCTTCCGAGTGTGCCACCTGTTAAGTATTTTTCTTAAATGACCAACCTCTCCACTGATATAGTCATTCCATTCAGACAAAATTAAAAGATGCCCATGTTTAATGGCTGCCAGAACTCTTGGGTGGCCTCCTGGGGGAACATGGAGAGGGAAACAGAGAACTGAAAGACCACAGGAAACTGGGAGACTCTCTAGGGCTGGGATTAAAGGTGTGTGTTACCATAATCTGGTTTGCAAGACTGACTAGTGGGACTGTTTTACTCTCAGATCTTTAGACAGTCTTTTTTTTTTTTTTTAAAAAAACTTTTTTTTTTATTTATTTAACTTTATTATGTTTGTTGGTGTGGAGGTGTCAGATCTCATGGAACTGCATTTTCAGACAGTTGTGAGCTGCCATGTGGGTGCTGGGAATCGAACCCGGGTCCTCTGGAAGAGCAGTCAGTGCTCTTAACCGCTGAGCCATCTCTCCAGCCCCTAGACAGTCTTTATTTATTAAAATAGAGTTGAAATGCCACTACAGTGTCTTTCTCCTCCGGTGGCTATATGGCCTCTCTCTGACTCTGCCTTCTTTCCTCCTCTGCTCAGAATTCTTGCCTTGCTCTACTCTGCTAAACCACTGGCCGAGACAGCTTTATTCATTAACCAATAAAAGCAACACATATACATAAGGACTTTCCACACCAGCCGTGGGCATCCTAATGATCCTTAGTGGCAATAGGAGCCACATAATGTCAATCTAGACTCTGGCTGCCACAGTACCACAGACTCAGGTATGACCCTTGGGAACAGCCTGGAACTGGATGACACCATGGTCCTGGGTATGACCCCCAGACTCCAAGTCCATGGGCTTTGACCTAGATCCCAAGCTTCTGTATGGGGCGTAGTGGCCCAAAGACTTCAACATAGACTCCAGGGGCATCTGGACCACTGACCCAAACATGGCCCCAGGCAGCAGCCTGATTGACATCCTGGTTCCAGGTGGAAGCACTGGCCACTCAGATTAGAATGACATGGTCCCTAGACCCCAGGTTCCATGTGACTTTTGGTGGCAACATGGGCCACGGAATTCAACACAGATCTCAGCTGCAGTAGGACCACACACCCAGACATGGTCCTCAACAGCAGCCTGGGTCTGGTGGTCACCATATCCCCAGGTAGCTCTGAAGGCTACCCAGATTGACATGGCCCCAGTGACAGTATGGCCCCTGGATACCAACATGGCCCCCAGTGGTGGTCCAGGCCACTGGAATCAGTATGGCCCTTGATGGCAACATGAGTCATAGACATCAACACAGACCCTGGCTTGAGTAGGGCCATGGACCTAGATATGGAAGTAGACATGGCCCTAGGCTGCATCCCGGCCTGGATATCACCATGGCTCTGTGTGGCAACAGATCCCCCATAAGCCTACGCCTCACTGCATTCACCATAGCCCCAGGTGGCAAGCAGGCATCCAGCACCAGCCTACTCCTCACCGCCTTTGTTTATTCCTGTATGCCTTTTTTTCACAGCACATGAATCATTCTTTTTTTCCCATTTTTCACCACATATTTTCTCATCATTATGGGGTTCACCTGTCTGACACCTGGCTAGCCTCCATTTGAGCAGAACTGCACGGGGGTAGGGGAGGTGTTGTGGATATCTTTCCGCCAGCCAGGACCTTGCAGCCCCCCTAGATTTTAATTTTCTTCAAGATTTTACTTCAGATTTACTGATTTTTGTGGCGCTGGGGCTTGAATACAAGGCATCACTGAATTCCATATAGGCGAGAGATCTGCCCCTGAGTCATGTACCCGGCCCTTAAGATCTTTTTAATTTGTTCTTTTCTAGAGCAAAAATTCCCCTTCTGTGTATGAGGGGCACAGTAAAGAGATCACTGAAATAACTTCTTCATTAGGGAGAAGGTTTTTATTGTGAGTAAGAGAAAATATACAGAGACATCTGGAAGAGTCCAGAGCAGTGAGAAAGTAGACTGGTCACAGCCAGGGCTCTTGGCAAGAGAAGTCAGAGAGCATGGACTGTAAAGCATGCTTATTATAAGGTGGACAAAAAGCTGGGGGAGGAGAGATGGGCCAGGAGCTAATGTGGACTTTGAAATGTGTTCCATGCGTTTGTGATACCTAGGGAGCCTGGAGGCCAGCATGAGTTTCATATGTTGATAACCGCAACAGGTATATGTCAGTAGAGAGCTCATTTCTGGATATGTGAACTTTCTGAGACCGAACTGCCCTTCCCTTTTGAGCTGATGCTGTGGCAAATGTCTATATCCAAGCTTCTTGGGAGGTTGAGGTTGTAGTATTGCACATTTTTGTCTAGCTAGAGTAACCTAGTAAGATAAGACCCTGTCTCAGAAAGAAAGAAAGAAACCAAAAATTAGAAAAGGGCTGGTGAGGTAGTTCAGCAGTTAAGCCTGGCAGTCCCAGTTTGAGGCTTGAAACCCACATAGTAGGACAGAATCAGCCTCCTGTACATTGTACTCTGGCCTCCCAAGTGTGTACCTATCATATTCAGGTAAACCCAGCCACATAAATTTTAAAAACAGAGCAGAAGAAAAAAACTTTGATTGTGGTCATTTGTCAATAGATTAAATTAATTAGGTTTATTTCATTGATATGAAGAGTTATAAATGAGTATACCTCACACCCCTCCCCGCCCCCAAGGTTCCTCTGTGTGCTTTTGGAACCTGTTCTGGAATTCGCTCTGTAGACTAGGTTGGCCTCAAACTCACAGAGATCTGCCTTCCTCTACCTCCCGAGTGCTGGGATGAAAGGCGTGCACCACCATTCCTGGCGCTTACCTCATTTTGATGATGTAATATCTTCCTGAAAATTTTGAGTGTAAACATTTATAAATTAAAATGCTAAAAGGCTGTTTATGCAGGGTGGTGGTGACTCATGCCTTTAATCCCAGTACTCAAGTTGGAGGCTAGCCTGGTCTACAGAGTGAGTTCCAGAACAGCCAAGGCTACATAATGAAACCCTGTCTCTGAACCAAAAAAGAAAAAAAGTCTTTTTTTTTTATTTCTTTAAAACCCTTCAAGAAATTTAAATGCCTATTTAGAAGTGTAAAGCACAGACTATTTTAGAAGTACAGAGGAGAAAAAGTTCTTGTAATAACATGTGGCTGCTGATTGTGTTGTGTTTAAAATCTGAGTTACATTAGTGTGCATTGACTCTAGAGTCAATTTGTCTTTCTTCTTCCTTATTATTAAAGCGGTGCTGACAAATCAGTCCATTGCCTCTCAAATGCTAGCATACCCCTCAGTCTTTTTTTTTTTAAGATTTATTTATTTTTATGTGCATTGGTGTTTTTGCTTGATTGTCTGTGTGAAGATACCGGATCCTCTAGGATTGGACTTAGAGACAGTTGTGAGCTGCCATGTGGGTACTGGGAATTGAACCCAGGTACTCTAGAAAAGCAGCCAGCATTCCCAACTACCAAGCCATCTCTCAATCCCCTCTCCAGTTTTTTTTTACTGTTTTTATGTATTTCTAATGTCTCCTACTGTTCTGTGTACTGAATCTTAGACTCTGTGAGCCAGCATGCTCTCCAGCCCTAGTACTTAATTGACTGGGTGTTTTTGTACCGAACTATTTTACGTCGTTTATTAGTTTTTTGACTATAGCTTTTTTTTAAAGCAATTTAAGAAAGTATAATTTCTAATTAAAATCTTCCATAGGCCTCTTATTTTGCTTTCTTTTTAGATGCTTAGGTTTGTTTACATATTTTCTTTATGCTAGAGCCATATTTTTATATTCATACAAGAAATCAAATTCAACACTTCATTACTTTTGCTTTCTGGTGTCTTAATGGTTTATCTGTTTACATCTCTTATTCTTCATTGATCCTTTAAGTTCAGAACTTCCCTCCTAGTATATATAGTATTAAAAGACTCCTTTTAAATTTCTTTTTAAGGTTAGTATCTAATACCCATTTTGTACATTAGAGGATAAATATTGCATGACCTACAGTATACTCAAGGAAAAGTCTTTTCATTTTGTAATAATGCACTCATATAAGTTGCAAATGTAGATTTCTAAGTTAAGGATTATCCTGGTTAGCTTAATGTCATGTTAAAGGAGAGGCCTCAGTTGAGGAATTGCCTGCCTAGATTAGGTTGGTTAGGTCATGTGTGTAAGTGGATTGTTGTGATTATTAATTGATGTAATAGGCTCAGCCCATTATGGGAAGCACTGTTCCACAGACAGGTGGTCCTGGGCAGCATATAAAAATGTAGCTGAATATGTTCAAAGAATGAGCCAGTGAGTAAGCCAGCAAGCAGTGTTTCTCTTTGAGTTCCTGCACTGGCATCTCTGGATTGCAGTTTAGAAATATGTGCCAATAAACACTTTCCTTTTCAAGTTGCTTTTGGTCTCCTTCTTTTCTTCTCCTCCTCTTTCTCTTCTCCTCCTTCCCACTCCTCCTCCTTGTGATTTTTTTTTGTTTTGTTTTGTTTTGTTTTTGTTTTTCGAGACAGGGTTTCTTTGTGGCTTTGGAGCCTGTCCTGGAACTAGCTCTGTAGACCAGGCTGGTCTCGAACTCACAGAGATCCGCCTGCCTCTGCCTCCTAAGTGCTGGGATTAAAAGCATGTGCCACCACTAAAACAAAATTATTCTATTCTTTATTATGAATTACACAATTTCCTAGATGTCTTAATGTCCTCTAATTATTGAATTATTGTTGTTTGCTTTGTTCTCTCTCTTTCTTTTTCTGAGATGGGTATTGCTGGCTATCCTGTAACTCACTCTAAACTAGACTGGTCTCGAACTAAGAGATTTGCATGCCTCTGCCTCCGTAGTGCTGGGATTAAAAGCCTGTGCCACTACACCTGGCTCTCTAATAGAGTTTTTATTTTTTTTTTTATTTATTTTTTTTTTAAAGATTTATTTATTTATTATGTATACAACATTCCTTCCATGCATGTTTGTATGCCAGAAGAGGGCATCAGATCTCATTATAGATGGTTGTGAGCCACCATGTATGTGGTTGCTGGGAATTGAACTCAGGACCTTTGGAAGAGCAATCAGTGCTCTTAACCTCTGAGCTATCTCTCCAGCCCCCTCTAATAGAGTTTTTAGAAAGGAAAAATAGTGCTGTTCCTGAAATACTGTTGTCAGCATACTTCTTATCTTTGATTCATGAGTAGAAGCATACTTGGAAATGAGCAGGTTCTTCATGAATTTATCTTACCTGCAAATTTGCTGTTTTCAGACCTAGTCCATTTATTGCTAATTCTCATATACCATCAATTTTAATTTTTATTCTGTAGATTGTGGCCAACTGCCTAGTTTTTTTCCTTTTCTCCTTTGGAAGAAGTTTACGAGTATATATAAATAATTGGTTTTTCATTCAGTGCAACCTGAAAGAAGGCACAGTACTACCTATATACATAGTAATTGGCAGTTTTGAGTGTAAGGAGATGTATTAGACATGCTTAGACATGTATTCCTTACCAACAAAATTTATTTACTAGTAGTTATAATATAGTGATATCTCTTAACTGTACAACTAGAGATAATATCTGTTGCATTTCTTTTCTCTCCTATAACTTTCCCCATCACTCACATTATTTTAGTTATAGAATATTATAGTCACAAAAGACAATTGAAAAGGATAATGAATTTTATATCTGATTTTTTATAAATGAAGACTCAAAAATTTTGAGACTTTAAAGGATCCTATAACTAGCTCTGGTTGTTTTCAGTCTATCTTACTGTCTTTATTTTTCTTTCTGGTTAATATATTCTATTATTTATGGTAAGCGTTCACTGTATGCTACATATAATAGCATTAGATTGGTAGTTGCTGATTATTACCCTTTGCATTCTGTTTTTTTACAGTGTCTAAATTCTAGCCTATTAAGTTTATTTTTTAGTTTATACCAAAGTTGTAGGCACTTTTAGGGTTGGTCTAAAAAGCTCAAAACTATCATTAAGTTAAAATGAATTAAGCATTATATCTTGGTGGGTATCTTTTTATTAAAAGATTAGTACTAATTTATGAATTAGTGCTAATTAATGAATCAAATAATCTCATGCCATTCGTTAAATACTTTTGCTCAATCCAGACCACCTGATTTCCCCTACCTCTTATTCAAAAATATATATAACAAAGGGAATAAAGAGTTCATAAGTCATAACTTTATGGCAGTAACCATTATCTCAGGAAAGGATCTTTTTTTTTGGATATTTATCAAGCTAAATTGCCCCAGTTTAAGAATGAAGAACTTTGGGCTAGAGAGATGGTCGGTCAGTGGTTAGGAGCATTGACTGCTCTTCCACGGGACCCAGGTTTAATTCCCAGCACCCACATGGCAGCTCACAACTGTCTGTAGCTAGTTCCAGAGGTCCTGACACCCATGGCAAAACACCAATGCACATAAAACACAAAAATAAGTTTGAAAAGAATGAAGAACATTTTTTGCCTGAAGATGACTTAAAGGTTTTACCTATAACATTTGCTATACACATCTCTGTTTGACTTCTGGATCCCATGGTAGGAATGCAACGGAAGAACCAACACCCAAAAGTGCATAGGCACATTTTGTATTAAGTTGTTAACATGTTTTTCTAAGATTACCTTGTGTCTGTGCCTCTAGACCCAGCAGCAGCAACAATATAATCTTATCTACTTTTTAATTTTCTATCAAATTCTTAATAGATCAAAGAGAAGAAAATAATCCCTGAGGCCCATAGTTGATGGCTTTATGATGACTCCTTGCAATAAAAATGCATGGGGAAAAAAAGAGTACTGTTAAAGAATTTACACTGAACTCAAAGTTGCCCTGATAATCACACTGTTTCATGGAATTCAAGTTTTTCACTTGTTTTCTAAAGTAATTTATGTACCTGAATTTGAGTGTGCAATTTTAGACATTGATCCTTAAAACCAACTTATGCATTT